AAAGGGAAAAATTTACAATCCCCGTACCTCACTCCACGATATCATGAATTCTACCGCACTTTCACGGTCTTTTTCCAACGTTAGGTTAATTTAACTGCCGTAAATGAATTATTAGCAATTGTTTGTGAGGAACAAAGAAGTGTTATAACGTAATTCAAATTATTCAAATGCGATTTCGCGCCGCAGTTAATTTTTTTCAGCGCGAAATTTTAATTTAAATCTGGTCACCACATAAAACTCATTGCGGTACTAGTACTCTAATAGTGGGGTCATTATAGTCCTAGTACTCAATGAAAATCAGAAAGGTACTAGTAGTTTAATATTCGTTGTTAAGGTACTGAAATTCGAATGGTGTCATTACGATATGCAAGCAGACAATAGATATTTTTAACCTTCTTCTCCTTCAGAAAGTTAAAATGCATTAACAAAAATTTATAATAAAAATTTGACATATCCCAACAATCAAGATGTTGTTCAATAAGAAATAAGGAAAATCCATTCGATACAAAATAATTTGTACATAAATTCAAAACCAATACTTAGTTTAACTTAATGTAATTACAAAAAAATTACATACCAAAATTAAATAGATACCTAAGTATACACTTAATCTCATTACATTTGATTTCACCTTCAAGTACATACATGCAAGAAATTTTACTAAACCTGATATGTATATGCATGAATTACAGTTTTAATTGTTTTAATTTAGCCTCCATTGTACTGGCATTGTCAATTGCACAAAAATTTTGTGCTAAACAATCACACCTAAGAGTGAAAATTGCATAACCTCGTTTTTCAGTAATAAACGTAATGTATATATCTTCAACATTGTCTGGTTTACGAATAGTTGATTTAATGAATTCTTCAAGGTTTATTGTAACACCGCCCTCTTCTACCATTCGATCTACCGATGGTATATTGGAATCTTTGCAATCCTAGAAATATTTAGAACCTCTAGTTTCTTTACCTGTTTAGAAACTTTAAAATCTCTGGAATATTTAGCATCTCTAGAATTTTTGACGTCTCCAGAATCTGTAGAATAGTTAGACTTTCTAGAATCTTTATTATCTGTAGAATCCTTAAAGTCTGCAGAATTTCTAAAATCTCTAAATTCTTAAAAATCTCTAGAATTGTTGGAACTTTCAGACTTTAAAACTTCGGAATCTTGGCAATTTTTGGATTCTTCAGAATCTCTAGAGTCTCTGGCATCGTTACAATCTCTAGAATTTTTAAAATATCTAAAATCGTTTGTATCTCCAGAGCTTTTGGCGTTTCCACAATCTTTATAATCTATAGAATCTCTAGAATTTTTAGCTCTCTACAATTTTTACCTCTTTAAAATCTTTAGAACTTCTAGAATTCAAACCTGTAGAATCATAGAAACTTTAAAATCTCTAGAAACTTTAGAGACACTAGAATCTTTGGAATCTCTAAAATCGTTAGAACCTCTAGACTTTTTAGAATCTCTAGATCTCTAGAATTTTTAGAATTGCTGGAAGCGTTCGACTCTAAAACTTTCGAATCTTTGCAATCTTTGAAATATTTATAAACTCTAGTTTCTTTACCTCTTTAGAAACTTTAAAATCTCTGGAATATTTTGCATCTCTAGAATTTTTGATGTCTCTAGAATCTGTAGAATAATTAGACTTTCTAGAATCTTTATTACCTGTAGAATCCTTAAAGTCTGTAGAATTTCTAAAATCTCTAAATTCTTAGAAATCTCTAGAATTGTTGGAACTCTCAGACTTTAAAACTTCGAAATCTTAGCAATTTCTGGAATCTTTAGAATCTCTAGAGTCTCTGGCATCGCTAAAAATCTCTAGAATTTTTAAAATATCTAAAATCGTTTGTATCTCCAGAGCTTTTGGCCTTTCCACAATCTTTATAATCTCAAGAATCTCTAGAATTTTTAGCTCTCTGCAATTTTTACCTCTTTAAAATCTTTAGAACTTCTAGAATTCAAACCTCTAGAATCATAGAATCTTTAGAATCTCTGGAAACTTTAGAGACTCTAGAATCTTTGGAATCTCTAAAATCGTTAGAACCTCTAGACTTTTTAGAATCTCTAGATCCCTAGAATTTTTAGAATTGCTGGAAGCGTTAGACTAAAACTTTGGAATCTTTGCAATCTTTGAAATATTTAGAACCTCTAGTTTCTTTACCTCTTTAGAATCTTTAAAATGTCTGGAATATTTAGCATCTTTATAATTTTTAACATCTCCAGAATCTGTACAATACTTAGACTTTCTAGAATCTTTATTATCTGTAGAACCCTTAAAGTCTGCAGAATTTCTAAAATCTCTAAATTCTTAAAAACCTCTAGAATTGTTGGAACTTTCAGACTTTAAAACTTCGGAATCTTGGCAGTCTCTGGAATCTTTGGAATCTCTATAGTCTCTGGCATTGTCGTAATCTCTAGAATTTCTAGAATCTCTAAAATCTTTAGTATCTTCAGAGTTTTTGGCCTCCCCAGGATCTTTATGACCTCTAGAATCTCTCGAATTTTTTGTATCTTTAGATCTCTAGAACCTCTGGATGTTTTAGAATATCTAGATGTCTAGAATTTCTAAAATTGCTGGAAGTTCAATATCCTAAAACTTTGGAATCTTTGCAATCTTTGAACTAATATACCTATAGAATCTCTAGCATTTGTAGCTGTCTAGAATCTTTACCTTTTTAGAATCTTCCTTCTTCTTGAAGAACCTTAAACCGAAATATCGAAAAATTGAAAAGCTGAGAAATAAAAAAAACGACATATTGAAGAAATGAAAAATGGAAAAAGTTGAGGAGTCGAAAAATTGAAAAATCGAGAAATCGAAAAATCTCAGAACTGAAATGTTGAAAGTCGAAAAATTGAACAAACGAAACATCGCAAAATTGGAAAAACGAAAAATTGAAAAGGCTAAAATCGAAAAATCGAAAAATTGAAAAATCAAAAAACCTGAAATTTTAAAAATCGAAAAAGTAAAAAATCTGGAAATCGGAAAGTTAAAAATTGGAGAATCGAAAAATTGAAAAATCGAGAAATCGAAACAGCAAAAAATTAACAATTGAACAATCGGAATATCTAAAATTTAAAAAATTGAAAAAGTAAAAAATCGAGTAATCTAAAAATGGAATAAGTGGTTGAAAAATTAGAGAATAGAAATATTGAAAAATTAGTAAGTCAAAAAATCTTAAAGTCGAAAAATCGAAAAGTGGAAAAGTCAAAAAATTGAGAACAAAAACCTAGAAAATTGAAAAATCGAAAAATTGAAGAATCGAAAAATGGAAAAATCGTTAAACTGAAGTATTGGAAAATTGAAAAACCGAAAAATTTAAAAACTCAGAAATCGAAAAATTGAGTTGTAAACCGAAATATCGAAAAATTGAGTCATCCAAAAATTGAAAACTGAAAAATATAAAAAAGGGGAAATTAAAGAATTGAAAAATAGAAAAAAATGATGAATCGAAAAATTGAAAAACTGAGAAATCAAAAAAACCAGATATTGAAGAATCAAAAAATTGAAAAACGGAAAAATTGAAACATCGAGAAATCGAAAAATTCCAGAACTGAAATGTTGAAAAGTTCGGAAGTCGAAAAACTGAACAAACGAAACATCGCAAAATTGAAAAAATAAAAAATTGAAAAGGCGAAAATCGAAAAAAAGATAAACCGAGAGATCGAAAAATCGAAACACCGAAAATTTAAAAGATTGAAATAATGAGAAACTGAAATGAAAATATGAATAAATCCAAAAATTGTAAAATTCAAAAATCAGGAAACTGATCGAATGAAAATTCGAAACATCGAAATCTCGATGAATCGAAAAATTGAAAAATCAAAAAATCTAAAATATAAAAAATCAAAAAAAAAAATAATTGAGAAATCGGAAAAGTAAACAATCGAGTAATCTAAAAATGGAATAAGTAGTTGAAAAATTAAACAATAGGAATATTGAAAAATTCCAAAACTAAACTATCGAAAATTTGGTAAATCGGTAAATCGGAAAATCGAAAAATTGAAAAATTCCAAAACTGAAACTTGGGCAGACTGAAAAATCAAAGCAAAATTAAAAAATCCCAAAACTGTAATTTCGAAAAATTGAAACATTGAAAAATCGACAAACCGAGAAATTGAAAAATTGAAACATTGAGAAACCGAAACGTGAAAAGCTGAAGAAATCGAAAAATTGTAAAATTGAAAAGTCGGGAAATTGATCAAATGAAAATTCGAAACATCAAAATCTCGATGAATCTAAAAATCGAAAAATTCAAAAATCGAGAAATAGAAGCAAAAAACTGATAAAGTTAGTCAATCGAAAAATCTAAAATTTAAAAATTGAAAAATCGAAAAAGCAAAAAATCTAGAAATCTAAAAATGGAATAGTTGAAAAAATAAAGAATGGAAATATTGAAAAATTCCAAAATTGAAGCTCGGTAAGTCGGAAAACCGAAAAATTGAAAAATCGAAGAAAAATGGAAAAATCCCAAAACTTAAACGTGGATAAACTGAGGAATCGAATAATTGAAAAATCGAGAAATTGAAAAATTGAAGAATCAAAAAACCGAAATAACAGAAAATTGAGTAATCGAAAAATTGCAAATTGTGAAAAACTCAAGAACATCAAAACAGAAATATCGAAAAATTAAGAAATCAAAAAAAGAAAAATCGGAAAGAAATTGTTATACAATTTTGTGTTTTTTCCAATAATCTAAAAATGCTTTAAAATTTTGATTTTTTTTTCAAAAATGTAGGTGTTTAGGGTAAACACGGGTTCATAAACCAAAAATGGGCGGAATACTTTGGGAATGATCAGATAAATTTTGGTTAGTGTTTTCGCATCTACATATAAAATACGACAACAATCGATCCCATAGTTTCGCAGATTATCTGTCTAATAAAAATCGTCACAGACGAACGGACAGATAGACGAAAACGGGAGACCTATTTTTTCATAATGTAGGGATCATGAAACTCGATTACAATACTTACACTCGGGAGTAATAACTCATCACAAGTGTCACATAATTTATAATAAATACATAATAAATACACATACATCTTGATATATACAAATATACAATTTCTCAGGTCTTGTCGTCTATCGCTATGTATCTCGTGGTTTCGATCCAGTTCCTCGACGAAGGTAAAACTAACACTATAAAAATAATAATAATAATAATTACTTTTTAACAAAACTTGAAGAAATGGTCGCACGCAATTCACTACTTTAACAAAATCACAGTTCCACCAAGTCAAAATTTTCATCCAAACCCACGAAATACGTAGGAACGAGACCTTCCCTCCCTTTGACTTTAATAGTTCCTCTGTAGCGACAAGCGTAGCCACAACTTTCAATTACTCTAGCTGTAGCTTCCAGTACTTGAATGTGGTCACCTAGACCCAAAGTATCCATTCGAGACGCCATATTTACAGGATCGCCCCATATATCATACAGAGGCTTCTTCGACCCCACGACACCGGCAGCCACGGAACCGTGAGATATTCCTACAAACAAAAATGTACATAGTGACCATCACCAAAACTAATAAAACCTATTCTTAGTTTCAAGTCCTGCTTGATTTCCTTTTCGTTCATCTCTTTCAGCTTCTGCATCAACCGCGCGGCGAATTTTAACAACGAAATGACGCTGTTTGACTGATTTGAATTATCGACTAGTCCACAAGCCGCCATATAGGTCCATTTAGCAATTTTGATTTTTTCGATAGGACTGTCGTGGATATTTTCTACTAAAATCTACGCAAGTTTGTAGAACAATCTTTATAATTTGTTATTTACCAGATCAAATTCGCCAATAATCGCACTCATTATTGTCAAAAAACCGCTGCCTAGAGACTCTAAAGACACGTTTGTGATTGACGCAAACATAACAGCTGCGTTAGGGTAAGTGTCGCTGTAGACTTCTTCGGATGATGGTCTGTTCACATTTAGGTACAATTTGACTAAAAATATGGTGATGTGGTAGCACTGCTTGTCAAAATGGAAAATAAGTTACCAACTGGGATGGGGAGGATGTTGACGAGCAACAAAGTGTTCACTTTGTGTTGAGCACTGGCTTGATCTTCTTTTATTATTAGATCTTTGTACCATAAGTAGTTGATTCTGTTTATGTATTCGGTCTGGCGGTCGACGAGATGGAGGATGAGGGTTAGAGAAAAAATACTCAAAATGTGGGAAGCTTCGGGGGTTAAAGCGGAATTGAATGTCTGGCTGTCCTAAAAATATTCCTTTGTTGTGTTATTTAACGCAAAAGTTTTACTAACCCCATAAAATTTAACACTGAATTGTAAAATACAGTAGGAGTAGATGGCTGCAATGGCGGAAGCGTACAACAGTTTTAACCACATGTACATTCGAAGAAATAAGAAGCTCATTATTATGGCTAGAGCGAAAGTTTCAGTCATTTGCTACAAAAATAAAAAAAAAAATATTGAAATTAATTCATGACGTACAGACGCACCCATGGGATAATACACTGTTCGTGGTTTTCTTCACTCCTGGTGTTCATCATCAGAACTAAAAAATTTTTTTTGGCTCCACCAGAAACATTGGACTTTGGATTTAGCAAAATTTCGGTCTCGTAGCACTCCACCTAGAGAATTAAATCAAAACAAACGTTACGAAGTCGATGAATTCTTACCCACTGTGACAGAACGCAAACACAAAACAGAACATACAGAATTGTGTAAATTATAAATCGTGCTAGAGAGTTATTCGTGATAAATTTAGAACTCTTGTAGAACAAACTTATGACTTGGTTAGTTGGAAGTTCGTTTTTGAAGTTTGAAAAATAGTTAGTCCAGATGTAGTGGGTCCACGTAAGAGGAAAAAAAACAAAGATGATCAAACCTAGAGTTAGGTAAAAAGGCCACTCGGGAGAGTTCCATCTGAAAAACACAAAAATAAAACAAATTGTGGTTAACGCCAAGTCCTTACTCTGTCAACGTCAAATTTTCCAAAACATACACCAAAAGAAGAATTAGTACTTCGCTTAAAATGTAGTACTTAAATAGAGGGTCCGGGGTCTTCACAAAGTCCATCTCACTCTTGAAATCTTTAAAAACAAGAAGTACTTGATACATGTCGGGATTTTTAAACCACTGTCTACAACAAGCCAAAATCAACCCCCACTTAACCAAAATTCCCACTTACTCGGACTTCGAAAACGACAAATTTTCTATGGTTTCTTCCATTTCCATATTCGTCTCGTCTAACATCTCTCGGTACCTCTTGATATTGCTGTTCATGAACACCGTGGTCCTCTTCCTGTCGTTCGTGGAAATTCGCGCGTTTCCGCTCGACTTTTTCTTAAACATCTTGAGAAGTGGGAATCCTGTAAACCACCGGTCTCTCGAACTGGGATAAGTGTGGCGTTTTTCCAGTGTAAGGTCCTTCCGTCTTTCGATTTCAACACTAATGCACCCATTTTCTTGATCCGGGTAACTACCAATCATTGAAAAACTCCTCGCGTTTGGTATCTCATTGTCACGATTAATCAAATCGGTGCTAAATCTTCTAACAAACACCGTCTTTCGTCGTTGGTTTTCGTGGTGGTGGCCGGGGTTCGTGTGTGGGTTTCTGGTCCCACCGATGACACCATTTTGTGGTGGAACTTTTTCGAGACAAGGTTTTACTAAGTAAGTTGGTTCATTATTAACTATTTTTGTGGACAGTTCTATGTTGTAAGGTTTGTGAAGCAGATTTTTGGTTTCTTTAGTGATGTGTACCATTCTAGAAGACAGAATTAGGCGTGTTTATAAAAAGAAAGTGTGAAATTACCCAGCGGTTCCTTCTGTTTCCATTTTGTTGGCCAAGTCCACGTCTTTGGACCAAATGTCGTACTGCCACTTAATCGTTCCGATTATACCCGAACTTATGCTTCCAGTATGAACCCCGATTCGCATGTTTATATCCAGGTTTTTGAGTTTTCTATAGAATTAGAGTGAATAGAGTGTAGATGCTGGTCTCCCCCAATCCTACTCACCTTATACCTGCAATAATCGCGATCATTTCTAGTCCAAAATCTACGCAAGCTTCAGCGTGATTAGGGGCAGGGTCTGGGGGCAAACCCGCCACACAATAATAACAATCCCCCAAGAACTTCACCCTTAAAACTTTCAACTTCTGTAAAAACCTTCACATAGATTAAAAAGTCTTGACAAAAATTCTAACCTCAGAAATGGCGTCAAATCGACTGAACAAGTGGTTCAAAACGTCCAAAATACCAGAAACCTCCAACCTGGTGGTCATCATGGTGTAATTGACTATGTCTGCAAACAAAATGGTCACGTTTTGGTGCGCCTCGATGTAGAGATTTCTGGAAACAAAACGTCAGATTTTGAATTGGGGATTGGTGACCTACTCGAAGGGTTTCTGAAGGGGGACTGATCCGTTTTTTCGGTACTGGGAGATGTACTCGGTCAAGGAAGTTTTGACTTTGCCTACGATGTGGAGCGGGATGATGCTGGACATGAGGTTGTTCTATGAACAAAAAAAAGTCGACTGTTGATTTATAAGTGCAAAATTCGAACCTACTTCTTGGTTTTCTTCAAAATTGAGTTGGAGCGTCGATTCCACGCAAGATCTCTTTTCGAGGAAACTCTTCCTAATGACAATTTCGTTCATGTAGCGAAAATAAATTCCTAGACAGTTCATGGAGAGGAGGAAGATGGCGTCTGAAATAATCTAAGACCGCAAATTATTATTATTATTATTATTAGACAATTCAAAAAATAATTTTGCTTACTTTGGTGTGCAGAGTCTCTCTGTTGGTGTTTGCATAAGTGACAAACACTAGCACCAAGATATGGAAAACGGAAATCACTACACCCATAACCACGACGATTAAGTTCTTTTGTATGTTAAAAAAAATGTAAGTCGATATGATTAAATAGGGAGTGTATGCTGGTCTCAAACCGTTGTCTTTGTTATAAAATGGAAGAAAAGCGTTCGTGAAGAAAATCGCCACGAAAGTGACTCCTTCGAGAAAATTGAGAAGGTTTGGATACGTCTTGACATACGTTTCTACCACGACGAGCACTACGATCGACAGTGTTGCCACTAAACCGTAGAGAATGAGATCCGGTAAAACATCAATTTTGTCAACCTGAGAAAAAAAGTCGTGTGAATGGGTGGCATAAAACCGGTTACTACGTACGTTTGGTACAACTGACAAGAGTACGATGAAATGACTAGTAATCAGCAAGATTTGTAGCGTCAGAAACTGAGAAAAGTATCCGTGGTTGATTTTCTGGAGGTACTTTTTGAAAAGCTGTTGCAGTTCTAAGGTTTCAAATTTATTCTGGAAGAAAGCGGACAATCACCACAACTGCTGCACAACAATTTAGACGTACTTTTAAGCGTGAAAGTTCCCATTTCCTGTCGTCGTTGGACCCTTGGCAGAGGATATCCGCTGTGGAGCCTCTTCTTTCCTCCAGGAAGTCTTCTTCGTCGAAAAGGACATCCATTTTGACCAACAATTACTTCTAAAATTTTCTCATGGCACTTTTTCGAAATATTGATGACTTGCTTAGAAAATTCAAAACTTATGACTGTGTTCATCTATTGTAGTTGTAAATTGGCGATTTCCGTTAATCAGTTGATGGAGATAAGATAAATCTTGGCAGGTATTTTATTTTATAATAAGGTTAAGGATGAATACCCGGAATAGAGATGGCAAAATAGATCACATAAAAAATTGCACGATAAGGATAAATAAATTGTATTGTATTGGTTTTTGATGGGTAGGTAATTGACACTAGTTTTAAATTTAACCAGTTGTAGTTATTGATTTGAAATTATCAACCCAAAGTCATTTTCAAAAAAATTCCAAAAAATGTTTAAACGGGTTTTATTCGAATTGTTGCCTGTATAGAATTTTTTGGAAATTAAATATCTGAAGCCAGTTTCTCCCCAAGATCTTGGAATAACCGCGAAAAACGATAAAATAATTTCCAAAAATTTTCCAAAAAAATATTGAAAGTGCCTCTATTTGAACAGAAAAAAGTACTTATAGGTCCAGCGCAAATTTTCAGTAATTTTCACTCTCTGATTTTTCAATTTTTCATTTCCTCAACTTTTCAACTTCTTGATTTTAATTTTTTATTTTTGGTTTTTTTAATTTTCATCGTTTGTTTCGAATTTATAATTTTTCATTTATTCAATTCTTCAAATTTTCATTCCTTGATGCTCGATTTTCCAATTTTAAAATTTTGGATTTCCCAATTACAAATTCGATTTTCCGATTTCTTTAATTTTTAATATTTCGATTTTTCAATTTTTCAAGTTCTTGTTTTCTGCTTTTTAGATTTTTCAGTTTTTCATTTTTATTTTTTCGTTTTTTCATTTTTGATTTTTCAATTATAACACGATAAATCGGAAGACTGAAAAATCGAAAAGTCGAAAACTAGAAAGAATCGAGAAAACAAAGTCAAAAAGTCGAAAAACTGAAAAACGTGTATATCAAAAACTGAAAAATTGAAAAACCGAAAAATCGAAAAATGGAAAATTGAGAAGTCGAAAAATTAAAAAATTCACAAATCGGAAAATCGAGAAATCGGAAAACTGAAAAATGGAGAAATGGAAAAATCAAAATTTGAAAAATCGAAGGGATTAAAAAACCGAAAAATTGAAGACACAAAAGATCGAAAGCTCGAAAAAACGATAAATCGGAAGATCGAAAAATTGTGAAGTTAAAAAGTGGAAAAATTAAAAATTGAAAAATCGAAAGCCTGAAAAACCTGCAAATCGAGAAATCTAAAAATGGAGAATCAAAGCTCAAAAAATCGAAAAATTAAAAAATCGACAAATCGAAAAATCGAGATAATGGAAAATTGGAAAATCGAAAAGTTAAGAAATTGAAAAATTGAAAAATGGAGAAATCAAAAAATTAAAAACTAGAAAAGCCAGAAAGAAAAAAATGGAAAATCCAAAATTTGAAAAATTCAAAACTGAAAAAAATGATAAATTGAAAAATTGAAAAGTGGAAAAATTAAAAATCGAAATATCGAGAAAGCGAAGTCGAAAAATCAAAAACCTGAAAACCCTGCAAATTGAAAAATCGAGCAATCAAAAAATCGAGATATTGAAAAATGAAAAAATTGAAAAATCAAATAGTCGAAAAACCTACAAATGGAAAAATGGAGAAATTGAAAAATCGTAAACTCGAAAATCGAGAAAACAAAAAATGGAAAATCGATAAGTCGAAAAATTGAAAAATTGAAAAGTCGAAAAAATGAAGAAATCAAAAAATTAGAAGATCGGAAAATTGGAAAGTCTAAAAGTAGAAAACTCGAGAAATCGAAAAATGGAAAATCGGAAAACCTAAAAATCGAGAAATTGAGAAATCCGGGAAACGAAAAATGGAAAATCGACATCTGAAAACCGAAAAATTGACAAATGGAAAATCGACTAATGGAAAAATCAACAAATGAAAAAATCGACAAATTGAAAAATTAAAAAACTAAAAACTCGACAAATGGAAAATCGAGAAATTGGAAAATACAAATATCGAAACACAGAAAAATTCAAAATCGAAAAATCGAAGAATTGAAAAACCGTGACATTGATAAATTGAAAAATCGACAATTAGAAAAATCGAGAAACCGAAAAATTAAAAATTCAAGAATAGAAAAGTCGAAAAATCGAGAAATTGAGATTGAGAAATGGAGAAATAGAAAAATCAAAAAGTCGAAAAATTGAAAAGTCGAAAAATCGAAAGATCAAAAAACTGTAAAAACCAAGAAATCAAAAAATTGGAACGTTAAAAAACCGAAAAATTGAAAGATGAGAAGATCGAAAAATTAAAAAATCCAAAATTGGGAAACTCGAGTAATCGAAAAATAGAAAATCGAAAAATTGAAGAGCCATGACTTCGAAGAATTGAAAAATCGAAAAATGAAAAAATCGTAAACTCGAAAAGTTGGAAAATCGAAAACTGAAAAAACGAAAAATTGCAAATCGGAGAACTGACGAAAGGAAAAATCGAAAAAAGTCGGAAAACTGTAACATTGAAAGAGCGAAAAATTGAAGAATTAAATATCGAGAAACTAAAAATCAAAATTGAATGAATGAAAAAGATTTAAAATTCCAATAATTGAAAAATGGAAAATTTGTAGAATCGAAAATTGAAAAAGGAAAAAATTTTAAAAATTATAATTAAATTATATTTAAAATGAAAGATTAAAATTGCAAATCAAAAATTGAAGAAACGAACAACTAAAAAATCAAGAAACTGAAAATTCTAAAACTGAAAAAACGAAAAATTAAAAAAGCTAAGGTTCAAAAATCGAAAAAACACCGAAAAATTGCAAATCGCGAAATTATAAAATCCAAATATTTTTAAATTTCGCATTGAAAAACGATTAATTAAAAAATCAGTTGAAAACCCAAAAAATTGAAAAAACAAATACAATAAAAAACCGAAACGGAAAATTGCAAATTAAAAAATTGAAAAATTAAAAACTGAAAACTTGGAGAAGCAAAAAAAATTAAAATTAGAAAAACAAAAAATTATAAAAACGAAAAATTGCGAAAATAAAGAAAACGAAAAACTGAAGAATATAAAAACTGAAAAATTAAAAATTGCAAATCGAAAAATTGCAAAATAGAAAAATCAAAACCTCAAAAAATTGGAAAATCGGAAAACTGAAAAAGTGAAAAACTGCAAATCGAAAAATTGTAAAAGAAAAGAAAATAAAAACAAATTAATAAAAAAAAGATTAAAGAGTTGAAAAACTGAAAAATCCCAAATCAAAAAACTAAAGAAATGAAAAAACAAATAAAGTTGAAAAACAAAAAATTATACAATCGGAAAATTGAAAACTCTAGAAATTAAAAGATTCGAAAGTTGAAAAATTGAAAAACTGAAAAATTTAAACTTGAAAATTCTTAAAATTGCAACTCAAAAATTGAAAAATCGAAAAGTTCTAGTCAAAAAAGCTGCGGAATATTATTTCCGATTTTGAAGCAATTTTTCCATAGTCTTAAAATAAATGCGAAAAAGGCAAAATTTTCTAAAAAAAAAATGTTAAAACTGTCTATATTTGAACAAAAAAAGTACTTGTTCATTGGAAATTTTCATTAAATTATCAATTCAAAGTCATTTTCGTAACAATTCCTCAAACAACTGCGGAAAACGGGAAAACAATTTCAAACATTTTTCAAAAAATCTTAAAACGGGTTTTATTTGAATTGGAAAAACTGCGGGCTTATAAAAAAATTCTGTAAATTAAGAATCTGAAACAGATTTTCCCAAAAAATTTCAAATAAATGCACAGGCGAAATAATTTCCAAAACTGTGTTTTAAGTTAAAATGCCTCCAGTCGAGCAGAAGAAATTACTCGATTTCCAAAAAATGTTAAAACGGGAACACAAATTCTAAAAATTTTCCAAAAAAATCGTGACGATTTTTATTCGAATAGAAAAACTTTCTCGTTTATGGGGAATTTTTAGCACGATAACTTTTCAAATAATCACAGAAAATGGAAAAATGCTTGCCCAAAAAATTCCTAAAATATGTTAAAACTGTCTTTATTTGAATAAAATAAAATTAGTCAATCGTAAGGAATATTCAGTAGATTGTCAACCTAAAGCATTTTTTTAGCAATTCTTTAATAACTGTCGAGAATGGGAAAAAACATTAAAAAAAATCCAAAAAAATTTTATTCGAATAGAAAAACATTCTAGTAAAAGGGGGTTTTCAGGACATTACCAATTTGGGGTTATTTTACAATGACGATGATGAAACGACTTTCGCAATATGGTAATTAATATTGATAAATATAATAATAATGTACAGCGGAAATACGGAAAAATAAAATATTGAATACAATTTAATTTTTCTTCAATTTAAAAAATAAATACTGGAATAATTTATAATTAAATAACTAAATCTATATTTGAATTTGAATATCCACAACACGTACATACAAATATTTTTAAAAAGCGTTTTACAAGTGGAGTATTTATTTTAATCTTCGCGATTTCTTCAGATCATCTCTTCTGCAACTTTCTTCAATCTTACTGAAAAACGTGAGACATGTTTCTCAACAAGAAGACAACATTTCTTCATAATTCCCCCCTACAACTTGATCAAGTTAAAATCTTCATCCAAAGCCACAAAATACGTAGGAACAGGACCATCCTTTTCCCTCCCTTTGACTTTAATCTTATCCCTATACACACACTTGTAGCCATAACTCTGAATTATTTCAGCAGTGGGTTCCAGCACCTGGATGCGATCAACCACCCCTAGAGTGTCCATTCGAGAAGCCATATTTACAGGGTCACCCCACACATCGTACAGGGGTTTTTTTGAGCCCACGACCCCGGCAGCCACGAAACCGTGAGATATCCCTAAAAGGCAGTTTAGTCAGAATTGATCGCAACTTAAATCCAAAACACTAACCGATTCGCAGTTTTATATCCTGCATTAGTTCCGCGTTGATTTGCTTCAGTTTTTGCATGAGACAGACCGCGAGTTTGAGTAGGGAAATGACGACGTGGTCTGAGCGGTCTCTGCGGATGTTTTCGGTGTCACCGAGACCCGGGGCTAGCCCACAGGCGGCCATGTAAGTCCACTTGGCAATTTTTATTTTTTCGATGGGTCTTCCGTACTTATTATTCACTAAAACCTACCACAACCAAAAAAAAAAAAAACGTGTTTTGAAATTACAACACACACAAATAATTACCATGTCGAACTCGCTGATAATGGCACTCATTATTTTCAAAAACCCACTGCCCATTTCCTCCACCGAGAAGTTCGTTATTGAGGCAAACATCACCGATGCGTTGGGGTAAGTTTCGTGGTACACTTCATCGGAGGACTGTCTTTTCACGTTTAAATACAGTTCGGCTGTAGAAAAAAATGTGTAAGTATGTAGTCCGACCCCAGTCGCTTTATTCCCTTACCGACATGTATGGGAAGGATATTTTCGAGCAACACCGTGTTTACTTTGTGTATAATGTTGGCTTGTTCTTCCTTCTCGACGAGATTTTTGTACCACAAGTGGTCGATTCGGTTCATGTATTCCGTCTGACGGTCCACGAGGTGGAGGATGAGCGTCATGAAAAGCACACCCATGACGTGGGAAGCTTCGGGGCGTAAAGCGTAATTGTAAGTCTGACTTTCCTAAAAAATGTTTATGGTTATTATGATCAAAATTGTCTTTTTTTCTACTTACTTCATAAAAGGTGACGCTATAATTTAGAATGCAAAATGAGTATACTGCTGCGATTAATAGTGCGTACAGGAGTTTTAACCACATGTACATTCGAAGAAAGAGGAAACTCATTATTATGGCCAGGGCGAATGTTTCTGTCATGTGCTAAAATGTTAAAAGAGATATTGAAGTTAGAAAGAAATTGGTATACATTTATTTAGACAGAACTTCGTGTAACATTTATTTTTTAAAAAAGTCGTCTAATAATTCTCAAAACATTCTGGGATGTATATTTTCGACATATTCTGTGTGAAATTCGAAATTTTTTTAAATTTGTAAAAATTGCGATATTTCAATGGGCGATTCTGGAAAAACGGTTAGAGTAAAATTCGAAAATTTCGTCCAAAAATCCGTTTTGAGTTTTTACCTAGACGTCAAGATTTTTGGAAAACAAAAAATCAACAGCATTTTCCAAATTATAGATACTGGAAGCATGTTAAATCGTTTGTAAATATTCTAAAGATTTTAGCTATTCTAAAAATTCTGAGATTCTACAGACTAAAGTTTCTAGACTTCTAGAGAGTCTAAAGTTTCTAGAGATTCTGCAGATACTAAAGACGCCGGAGATACTAAAGATTCTAGCGATTCTAAAGATTCCAGAGATTGCTATAATTCCGAAGTTTTAAAGTCTGGAAGCTCCAATAATTCTAGAGATTTTTAAGAATTTAAAGATTTAACAGATTCTAAAGATTCTAGAAAATTTAAAAGTTCTAAAAATCCTGCAGACGTCCTAGAGATTTTAAAGATTTTAAAGATGCAAAAAATTGGAAAGATTTAGAGATTATAAAGATTCCGAAGAGGCCAAAAACTCTGGAGATACTAAAGATTCTCCAGATTCTAGAGATTGTACAGATGCTAGAGATGTTGAAGATTTCAGAGCATTTAGAAATTTTAGATACTAAAGACTCTTGAGATACTAAAGATTGTAGAGATTCTAAAGATTTTAGAGATTTCAAAGTGATTCTAGAAATTCTGAAGATCCTAGAGATTCTGGAGATGCTAAAACTCTAGAGATCGTAAAGATTCTACAGATTATCAAAAAGTCCGAGAGTTTAGAAATTCTACAGATTTTAAATATTCTAGCGATCTAAAAGATCTGAAGATTCTAGAGATCTATAGAATCCAAAGATTCTAGAGATTCTGGAGATGCTAAAAACTCTGGAGATTCTAAAGACTCTAGAGATTTTAAAAATTCTACAGATTCTAAAGATGCCAGAGATTATAGAGATTCTAGAGATTCCAGAGAATTTAGAAATTCTAGGGATTCTAAAGATTCTGGAGATACTAAAGATTCCAAAGATTGCTATAAATAATTTCGAAGTTTTAAAGTCTGGAAGCTCCAACAATTCAAGAGATTTTTAAGAATCTAGTGATTTTAGAAATTCTACAGAATTTAAAGACTTAAAAGAGGATTCTAAAGATTCTGCAGCTGCTAAAAATTCTAGAAATGCTAAAGATTTCAAAGTTTGCAAAGAAAAGTTTCAGAGTAGAGCGCTTCCAACACTTCTAGAGATTCTAGAGATGTAAAGATTCTAAAAACTCTAAAGGTTCTAGAGATTTTAAAGATCTTGGAGATGCAAAAAATTGGACAGATTCTAGAGATTATAAAGATTCTGGAGAGGCCAAAAACTCTGGAGATACTAAAGATCCTAGTGATTCTAGAAAATGTAGAGATGCTAGAGATTCTAGTGATTCTAAAGATTCCAGAGTATTTAGGGATTTTAGAGATTCTTAAGATTCTGGAGATATTAAAGATTGCAGAGATTTTAAATATTCTAGAGATTTTAGAATCTATAAAGATTCTAGAAATGCTAAAATCTCTGGAGATACTAAAGACTCTAGAGATTCTAAAAATTCTACAATCTCTAAAGATGGCAGAGAATATAGAGATTCTAAAGATTCCGGAGAATTTAGAAATTCTAGAGATTCTAAAGATTCCAAAGATTGCTATAAATAATTCCTAAGTTTTAAAGTCTGGAAGCTCCAACAATTCAAGAGATTTTTAAAAATCTAGTGATTTTAGAAATTCTACAGAATTTAAACACTTAACAGAGGATTCTTAAGATTCTGGCGATACTCAAGATTCACGAGATTTTAAATATTCTAGAGATTCTAAATATTCTAGCGATCTAAAAACTCTGAAGATCTTAGAGATTTTAGAAACTATAAAAATTCTAGAAATGCTAAAATCTCTGGAGATACTAAAGACTCTACAGATTCTAAAGATGCCAGGAATTACAGAGATTCTAAACATTCCAGAGAATTTTTACAGATTCTAGAGACTCTAAAGATTCTAGAGATACTAAAGATTGTAGAAATTCTAAAGATTCCAGAGATTAGTAAGATTCCGAAGTTTTAAACTCTGGAAGCTCAAACAATTCTAGAGATTTTTAAGGATTTAGAGATTTTAGAAATTCTACAGATTTTAAAGGTTGTGAAGATGCTAAAAATTTTAGAGATGATAAAGATTCTAGAGATTCTAAAAATTCCTAACTTCTCGATTTCTCGAGCCTCTGGTTTTTCGATTTCTCTATGTCTCAGTTTTTTTTTTAATTTTTCGATGTTTCGATTTTTGGATTTTTCGGTTTTTCGATTTTTGACTTTTGGGATTTTCAATTTTTCGTTTTTCCAATTTTCCGATGTTTCGAGTTTTCAGTGATCCGATTTTTACATTTTAGATTTCTATTTTTTGATTGTTTGATATATATTTGGATTTCTAGATTTTTCAATTTTGCGATATTTGTACAATGTTTTAAATTTTTAATTTTTAGGTTTCTAGATTTTTTGATCTTTCAGTTCTTCAGTATTACTATTTTTTCCAATTTTTTAATTTCTCAACTTGAATATTTTGGAATTTTTCAATATTTAGATTCTTCGACTTTTCGATTTTTTGATTTCTCAATTTTCCAATTTTTTCATTTCTCAATTTTTTATATAGTTCTTTCAGATTTGGGATTTTTCAATATTTCGATTTTTCAACTTTTCGATTTTTGGACTCCTGGATTTTTTGATTTCTCGATTTTTTTACTTGTCGGCTTTTCAATTTTTCGTTAAACTTAAATTTTTCAATTTTTCGACTATTTTATTGCTTCGATTTCTCAATTTTCCGAATTTTTAAATTTTCGATTTTCCAATTTTTCTTTAAAATTTTTCTATTTTTCAATTTTTCCGTCACTCGATTCCTCGAATTCAGATGTTTCGATGGATGAATTTCTCCATTTATTAATTTTTCAATTATAAACTTTTTTTTCTCGATGTCTCAGTTTTTTATTTTTCGATGTTTCGATTTTTGGATTCCTCGGTTTTTCGTTTTTGACTTTTCGGCTTTTTTATTTTTCGATTTTAAAATTTTTCGATGTTTCGAGCTCTGAGGCTTCGATTTCTGGATTTGTGGATTTTTCAGTTTTTTGATTTTTAAATTTTAGATTTTTATTTTTTGATATTTGGATTTTTGGATTTTTCAATTTTGCGATATTTTAATTGTTCAATGTTTCAAATGTTAGATTTTTAGATTTCTGGATTTTTTGATTTTTCGGTTCTTCAGTATCTCTATTTTTCAATTTTTCTAATTTTGACGTTGCTAAATTTTCAGTTTTCCGATTTCTCAATTGATCTATTTTTGATTTTCCCATTTCTCGATTTCTCAAAGTTTAGATTTTTCGGTCATTCAATTCTCCAATTTTTAATTTCTCAACTTTTGGATATTTCTTTCAATTTTGTGATTTTTCAACATTTCGATTCTTCGACTTTTCGATTTTTCGACTTCCAGATTTTTTGATTTTTCGATTTTTTATTTTTTGGATTTTCAGTTTTTCGTTTTTTAAACTTTAGATTTTTCAATTTTTCGACTGTTTTATATTTCGGTTTCTCAATTTTTCAACTTTTCTGAATTTTTAAATTTTCGATTTTTTGATTTATCAGTGTTTCCATTTTTAACTTTTCGATTTTTCGATTTTGGTCCATCTATATTTCGAAACATCGAAAAATTAGAAAATCGAAAAATTAAAAAATAAATTGGAAAATCGAAAATTTAAAAATTCCGAAAATTGAAAAATGAAATATAGAAGAACTGAAAACTGAAGAAATCGAAAAACCTAAAATTTTAAACATTCAAAACTTAAAATATCGAAAAGTTGAAAGTTACAAAAACGAAAAATTGAAAATCCAAAAAGTAAAAAGTCGAGAAATCGGAAAATCGAAAAGTCGAAATCCTAAAAAATCCCCAAAGTAAAACATCGAAAAATTGAAAAACTGAAAAACTGAAAAATCGAGACTTTGGCAAGTTGAGAAATGGGAAAACAAAAAAATAGATTAATTGAGAATCGGAAAACTGAAAATTCAGAAACGTCAGAATTTGAAAAATAAAAAAATATTGAACAACTGAATCGTCTAAAAATCTAAAATTGAAAACATTGAAAAATTAAAATATCATCAAATTGAAAAATGGGGAAATTCAAACATCAAAAAATCAAAAAAATAAAAATTCGAAAACTACAATTTAAAAATCGGAAAACTGAAGAACCAAGAAATCAAGAAATCGAAACTTGAAAATTAAAAAAATTGGAAAATTGAAAAATCGGATAATTCAAAAATCGAAACATCGAAAAATTCAAAAACTGAGACATCAAAAAGTACAGAAATCGAGGAGTCAAAAAGTTGAGAAGTCGAAAAATCAAAAAATTGAGACCGTATGGAAAATAAAAAACCACCAAAATAGTAACTAAAAATATGTAAAAATATCAACACAAAATAGAACACAACGGGATTTTTCAATATTTTGATTTTTCAACTTTCCGATTTTTGGACTTCTGGATTTTTTGATTTCTCGATTTTTTACTTGTCGGCTTATCAATTTTTCGTTAAACTTTAGATTTTTCAATTTTTCGACTGTTTTATTTCTTCGAGTTCTCAATTTTTTAACTTTCGATGTTTCAATTTTTCAATTTTCCGAATTTTTAAATTTTCGATTTTCCAATTTTCCTTCTTTAAAACTTTTCGATTTTTCTATTTTAGATTTTTATTTTTTGATGTTTGGTTTTCCGGATTTTTCTATTTTGCGATATTTTAATTGTTCAATGTTTCAAATTTTAGGTTTTTGGATGTCTGGATTTTTGGTTTTTCGGTTCTTCAGTATCTCTATTTTTCAATTTTTCAAATTTTGACGTTGCTAAATTTTCAGTTTTCCGATTTCTCAATTAATCTATTTTTGGTTTTCCCATTTCTCGATTTCTCAAAGTTTCGATTTTTCAATTCGATTTTTTATTTCTTGGATTTTCAGTTTTTCGATTTTTGAACTTTAGATTTTTCAATTTTTCGGCTGTTTTATATTTCGGTTTCTCAAGTTTTCAACTTCTGGATTTTCCGATTTCTCGAGTTTTCAGTTTTTCTATAACTTAATTTTTCAATTTTCTGAATTTTTAAATTTTCGATTTTTCAATTTTTTGAAATCTCGATTCATCGATGTTTTGATTGTTCAAATCTATCGATTTATCAATTTTTCCATTTTTAACTTCTCGATTTTGGTCTGTCTATATTTCGGAACACCGAAAAATTAAAAAAAAAACCCTGGAAAATCGAAAATTTAAAAATTCCGAAAATTGAAAAATGAAATATAGAAGAACTGAAAACTCAAGAAATCGAAAAACCTAAAATTTTAAACATTCAAAACTTAAAATATCGAAAATTTGAATAATTGATTAAAAAACGAAAAATTGAAAATCCAAAAAGTAAAAAGTCGAGAAATCGGAAAATCGAAAAGTCGAAATCCTAAAAAATCCCAAAAGTGAAACATCGAAAAATGGAAAAACTGAAGAACTGAAAAATCGAGACTTTGGCAAGTCGAGAAATGGGAAAATAAAAATATAATATTAAATGAGAAATTAGAAAACTGAAAATTAAGAATCGTCAGAATTTGAAAAATTAAAATATCGTAAAATTGAAAAATTGGATAATTCAAAAATCGAAAAATCGAAACATGGAAAAATTCAAAAACTAAGACAAATAACAACCAAAATTGTGATTAAAAACATGTAAAAATCAATAGAAAATAGAATACAATGCTTCTAAAACAAAAATCCACAAGAAAATGTATTCCTTTAAATTTCGAAAATTTTGTTGAAACTGGTATTGGCGCACACGATGTAAATTTTTTTCTTAAAAACGGAGGACCTGCTTTTTCAGATTCTAGAAGCTATGATCATCGAGAAAATATGTAAATTGCAATAAAAACAATAAAAACCTTACCCATGGTATAACACAATGTACATGATCTTCAGGACTCAAATTATCCCCCGTCGCCAACCCTAAGAAACTATGTTTAGTAGCGGCAGAAAAATTAAGATTTGTATGAAACATAGTGTCGTTTAGATCGGCAAGCTCAAAAGTATAGCAATCCAACTAAAATAGAAAATACATATATTATTAAACACTTAGAAAACTCGATTGCTTACCCACTCCGACAGCACGCATAGACAAAAAAGCACATACACAACTGTGTAAATCACAACTCGCATCACACAATTATTCGTAATGAATTTAGAAGCGTTATACAAGAGACTTATAATTTTGTTGGTGGGGAGGTCATTCTCAAATTTGGCTATGTATTTAGTCCACATGTAGTGGGTCCAAGTAAGAGGAAGACCAACGAAAATTATTAGACCGAGTGTTACGTAAAAGGGCCATTGGGGGTAACTCCACCTTAATAGAAAAAAAAAACGTAGAATAAATTTCAACTTATTAAAAAAAAAAAAATTATAATCAAACTTACTTTGACAACGTCAAATTTTCCAAAACATAAACCAAAAGAAGAATTAGGATTTCGCTTAGAAGGTAATATTTAAATAAAGGATCCGGGGTTTTAATAAAATCCATTTCGCCCTTCCAGTTCTTGAAGACAAGTAGTAGTGGGTACATTTCGGTAGCTCTAAACCACTGCCTGTTGTATTTAGAGAAAATCGTGTCAGTATTAACCCAATCCGCGAATTTAAATCACTCGCACTTACTCAAATTTCGACAACAACATATTTTCTATAGTCTCCTCCAACTCCCTATTCGTCTCCTCCAACCTCTGCTTATACCTCTTGATGTTGTTGTTCATAAACGCCGTCCTCCTCTTCCTGTCGTTCCCCGTCAAGCGCCTGTCCGTGGAAATCCTCACGTTCCCGCTAACCCTTCTCTGGAACACCCCCATCCCGGGATTCCCACTGATCCTCCTCTCGTTCGAATTGGGAAACGTATGTCGCTTCCCCACCGTAAAGTCCTTCCTTTTCTCATTCTCCACGCTAATATCACAGTCTTGCTGGGCTTGGTAGTTACTAATCAACGAAAAACTCCTCGTGCTCGGTGATTGGCTCACACTGGCTCTCAAATCGTTGGGCGCTGTGTTGATCCTCTTGATGTAGATCGTGGGTCTGCGCTGGTTTTCGTTGTTGTTTTGGTCGGGTTCGTCCTGCTTGACGTGGTTCTCGACTATCCCCGGGACTCCGCCGTTTGCGCTGGGTTCGGTTTTTGGAAGGGGTTCGATCAAGTAGGTGCGTTCGCCGTTGACGATTTTCGTTGACGGGACCATGGTGTAGGATTTGTGGAGGAGTTGTTTGGTGGCTTTAGTTATGTGTACCATTCTGGAAAAGGGGGTTAGAGGGGTTTGGTGCGGGGAGATGGACTTACCCTGCGATTCCTTCGGTTTCCATTTTGTTGGCGATGTCGACGTCTTTGGACCAGATGTCGTATTGCCATTTGATGGTGCCGATGATTCCCGAGCTGATTTTGCCGCTGTGGATGCCGATGCGCATGTTTATGTTGACGTTTTTGCGGCGTCTGAAATATATTTTTTCTGACGTATTAAGTTTTTGAGCAAGAAAATCTGACTAAAAAGTAACAAAAAAGTCGAAAAAAGGTCAAAAAGCGGCAAGAAAAACAAAAAATGCGATCAAAAAGAAAAGCCGAAAAAAGACAAAGGAAGCGATCAAAAGAGACACGGCAGAAAACAAATTACATACAGGGAAAAAAAATAACAACAAAAAGGAGACAAAAAAAGGTCACAGAAAATACGCCAAAAAAAAGGGATTTTAAAAAACTTGTAAAACTCAAAAAATAGGAAGCGACAAAAAACAAATGGAAATAAAAAAAGGTGTGCCAAAAAAAAAGGCAAAGTAGGGCCCGATAAAGACGACAAAAAAGCAACAAAATGAAAAGGAAAAGACTATTAGAAGTGAAAAATAAGCTACAAAAAAAGAACCAGCAACAACAAACACGACACCAAAAACTTAAAAAAACAAAAGTGAGTAGACAAAAGAAATAGGAATAAAAGTGACAAAAAACAAAAAAAAACAACAAAAAAGACGAAAAAGCAACTAAAAAGATACAAAGAAAATAACAAAAAACCAAGACCACAAAAAACGGGACCAAAAACAACAAAAAAAAAGGAAAAACAATCCGATCAAACGAAAAAGGGAGTCAAAAAAGCGCCAAAAAACAAGTCCCTAAAAATACGACTAAAAAAAACAACAAAAAAAAAACGACAATAAAGAAACGAAAAGAAGATGAAATAAAATGTAACAAATAATGGCCACAAAATTGGCAGTCAAAAAAAACAAGGCCACAAAAAATGACAGCAAAAGGGTAACAGGAAAGACTAAAATCTTCAAAGCGTCAAAATCTTGAAATTACTTTTGAGGATTTGGTGATTCGAGAATTTCAGGATTTGGTGATTTGAGATTTCAGAACTTGGAAATTTGAAGATTTTCAAGATTTGATGATTTGAGAATTTTGAGGATTTCAAGATTTAATGATTTGGTGATTTGAGGATTTGATGATTTAAGATTTCAGGATTTCGTGATCTGAGGGTTTTGAGGATTTGAAGATTTCGAGGACTTGAAAATTTTGAGGATTTAAGGATTTTGAGGATTTGGTGATGGGAATTAGTGAGGATTTGATGATTTTGTGATTTGGGGATTTTGAGGATTTGGTAATTTGAGATTTCAGGATTTGGCGACTTAAGAATTTTGAGTATTTGGTGATTTGAGATTTCAGAACTTGGTGATTTCAAGATTTTGAAGATTTGATGATTTGAGAATTTTGGGAATTTCAAAATATGATGATTTGGTGCTTTGAGGATTTTGAGGATTTGATGATTTGAGGATTTTGAGAATTTACTGATTTGAGGATTTGATATTTCAGGATCTCGTGATTTGAGGATTTGGGGATTGTAAGGGTTTGACGATTTCGAGAATTTGGTGACGAGGATTTTGAGAATTTGATGATTTTGTGATTTGAAGATTTTAAGGATTTGGTGATTTGAGATTATAGGATTTGGTGATTTTCAAAATTTTGAGTATTTGGTGATTTGAGAATTTTAGTATTTGGTGATTTGAGATTTGAGAATGTGGTGGTATGATGATTTTGGAGATTTGAGGATTTTGAGGATTTCGTGATGAGCATTTTGAGGATTTGGTGATGAGGACTTTGTGAATTGAGGATTTTGAGGTTTTGAGATTTCACGATTTATTGATTTGAGAATTTTGAGCATTTGGTGATTTGCGATTTCAGGATTTGGTGATTTGAAGATTTTGAGGATTTGATGATTTGGTGATTTCAAAATTTTGAAGATTTCAAGATTTGTTGATTTGGGGATTTTGAGGATTTTGAGGATTTGATGATTTAAAGATTTTGGGAATTTGGTGATTTGAGAATTTCTGGGTTTGGTGATTTAAGGATTTGGGGATTTTAAGGATTTGAGAACTTGGTAATTTGAGAATTTTGGGGATTTCGTAATTTGAAGATTTTCAAGATTTGATGAATTGAAGATTTTGGGGATTTTAATTAATATTCTGAAGATTTGAGGATTTGGTGACTTGAGGATTTTGGAGATTTGAGGATTTGGTGATTTGCGATATTAGGATTTGGTGATTTGAGATTTCAGGATTTGGTGATTTGGTCATTTGAGGATTTGGTGATTTGAGAATTTTGAGGATTTTGCGATTGAGAATTTCAGGATTTGGTGATTTAAGAATTTTGGGGATCTGAGGACTTAATGATTTGAGAATTCAGGATTTGGTGATTTGAGGATTTTGAAGATTTCAGGATTTTGAGGATTTGGTGTTTTGAAGATGTTGAGGATTTGAGGATTTTGAGGAATTGATTATTTTGTGATTTAAGGATTTTGAAGATTTGGTGATTTGAGATTTCAGGATTTGGTGATTTGGTGACTGGGGATTGAGTGATTTGAAAATTTCAGGATGTGGTGACTTGAGGATTTAAGGATTTCAGGATTTGGTGATTTGAGGATTTGAAGTTTTGTACAATTTGAAGATTTGAGTATTTTGTGATTTGAAGAATTTTGAGGGTTTGAAGGATTTAGGATTTCGTGATTTGAGGATTTGATTTGAAAATTCTAATGTCATGAAGATTTGACGATTTGGTGACTTATAAGAATAAGAATAAGAATAAGAATAAGAATAAGTTTATTGCACAACTAGAGCAGCGTACAAAAAGTTAGAATGCAGGCTAACCCTGATACTAAAACGATTCTAACTCATACCTACACAACACACATTAAACATACAATATACAATTAGAATACGTAAATAAGTAAAATAAATAAAACAACCTTACAAACATAGTCAAACTTAAAATCGACGAACATTAACATTTATGTCGTGACTATTTAAAATATCAGACTTAATTCTCTTTTTGATACAAGAACTGGATGCATTTAAATATATCAAAAAATTATTGTTAATATGTGATGCTAAGTAGGAGAAAGACGACTGAAACTTTGCAGTTCTGTGAACAGGAATCTCGAGTCGTTGATCAACATGTCTTAAGTCTCTTATATTTATTTCATTTCTTTTAATCATTTTAACAAAAAGATATTCAGGAACATGAGTTTCTAGAATCTTTTTAATGAAATTTACGTAATGTAAGAAACGCTGTTCATTTAGCTTAAGTTCTTTTAAAAGTTTTATATATGGTGAAATATGTTGAAATCTCGGTACGTTAATAATAAATCGCACACAACTATTTTGAATTTTTTGTAGTTTGATTTTGTCATACTCCGACAGACACGGACCATAGACTTGAGTACAATAATTTAAGTTAGACAATACTATTGATTTAACTAAAATGAGTTTAGTGTCCTGATCTAAAGATTGTCTGAGAGGAGCAAGCTGCTTTAGTTTAAAATAACTTGAACGGCATAATGCAGAAACATGTTGTGAAAAATTCAGACATGAATCAAGGATTACACCTAAATTTTTAACAACACTTTCACAGGGAATTTGTTGTTCGTTAATGACTAAATTAAGATGAATGTTTGCCGTTAAAGTAGAGGAACCGAATATTATGTTTTTACATTTTTTAGTGTTTAAATAAAAAGAATTGCAAGCAGTCCAATGAAAAATTTCTGCCAAATCTTCATTAATCTTAATCGGAGCTGTTGTATCTTGAGGATGAAAGCTTAAATACATTTGAATATCATCAGCGTACAAGTGCATGGTACAGTATTTAGGCACAAACTGAATATCGGATATAAATACTGAAAACAAGAGAGGACCTAAAATCGATCCCTGTGGAACTCCTCTTTTAATGTCACGAGTGGCAGAAGTGTCTTGACCTGTGACAGAGTTTATGCGACAAACCTGTTTTCTATTGTGCAAATAATTATTAAACCATTTTAAGGTAGAATTAGTTACACCGTAATAAGATAATTTTTCCAACAAGCAATTAATATCGATGGAATCAAAAGCTTTAGACAGATCTAATAAAGTTAATGCAGTAACGTTTCCCCTATCCATATTACGCAAAATATCATCAACAATAGACACTAGGGCTGTAGCTGTACTGTAGCCTTGACGAAAACCAGACTGAGTCATTGGTAGGATATTTATATTTGAAAAGTACTCTTTAAGTTGTTTATACATGAGCGATTCCGAAATTAATAACATAATTGGTTGTATACTTATCGGTCGTAAGTCATTTAATTCATTAACCTTAGATTGCTTGGGAATGGGTGTCACACATGATGTTTTCCATAGACTTGGTACAATACCGTTTTCAAAGCAGATGTTAATTATATGTGTCAAAGGTGCGCATACGAAAGGTAGCGAGAGTTGTAACATCTTAGCTGATATACCATCATGACCTGTCAAAGAGGGTTTTAACTTGAGAACTACATCCCTTACAGTTTCCTGATCTACAGGCGAATATTCAAATTTGTGGTTTTCAGAAACATTTGCACGATGAAGATATTCACGAAAAGAAAATGAAGCAGAAGTTTTTGGCACAGAGTCAACAAAAAAATTATTTATAACATTAACATCCGAAAATTCAGGTGGAATAGAATTTTTAAGCTGTTTGGTATTAATAACATCCCAGTTTCTCAAATTTGCCCAAAAGAGCTTAGGATTTTTCGTGCAATTCTTCCTAAAATTGAACACTAAAAAATGTCGTTTCTCTTGCTTAAGAACAAAATTATAGTAGTTCCTAATCTGACAATAGTATTTTCTAGCTACAATTGATCGAGACTGACAAAAACGACTCCACGCTCTTTGTTTTAATTTTTTTAAGCGTCTTAAATTAGGTGTAAACCAGGGTCGATACCTTTTATGAGATTTTTTATTAAAAACTGTTAAAGGAGCATGAATATCAAATAAGTTTAAAAGGCAGCAATTAAAATAGTTGACTTTATCATCGATATTTTTGATCACATAAATGCAGTTCCAGTCAATGTTTTTAGCATCATCATAGAATGTTGCTAAATCGAAATGTTTGTAAGTTCTAATAATTTTAACATGTGACTGAGAATTATCTGAAAAACAAATTAGACAATTAACACGGTGATGATCTGAAGGAAGAAAATCAGAAACCCAAGAGCTAATAACATTCATGTTACTGTTAGTTATAATTAGGTCAAGTAAGGATTCACAACCGTCAGTGACTCTAGTGGGTTCGTTAATTAATTGAATACAATCTAACTCATATAAAAGATCCTTAACATAACTACTTGCAGAGTCAACAGTAAGCATATCTATATTGAAATCTCCCAACAGAATAAAATTAGAAAAATTATTTAACAACAAAAAAGTGATTACATCATAAAGTATTATCATATTGGCGTACGAATAACTGGGGGGTCTATAGAACTCACCTACCACTAGACATTGACTACCTACTTTAATTTTAACCAGGATAAAATTAATATCTCCATATTTACTAGTATTATTATCAAATTCTAAAATTTCGTAGTGATAATTAGATTTAACGTATAAAGCGACACCACCACCAAGAGAATTACGGTCACTCCTAGCTATATTGTACCCGGAAACAACAAAGTGAGCATCCGGAATATTAGCTCTGCACCAGGTTTCACTTACACCGATAACGAAGTAATCATTTTCACATACAAAGTCCTTAAATTCATGCATCTTATTACACAATGATCTTGCATTAATGTGACAAACTGACATTTCCCTAGACCTAGAAGGACAATCTTGTGCTACGAAATTTGCGGGGGAAGCAACCGTTTGCGAAAAAACTTATTAATGGTTACACCGTTAGGCCAAAACTCCGAGTTCATAACTGTTTCGGTCAGAGAGGCAGGAATTGTAATTTTAATTTTTTTATGGATTTTGGGGTTTGAGGATTTGGCGATTTGAGACTTCAGGATTGGGTGATTTGGTCATTTGAGGATTTGGTGACTTGAGAATTTCAGAATTTGGTGATTTGAAAAATTTGAGAATTTAAGGATTTTGAAGATTTGGTGATGTGAGATTTTAGGATTTGGTAATTTGATGGCTGAGGATTTGATGATTTTGTGATTTGATAATTTTGTGTATTTGGTGATTTGACATATCAAAACTTGGTGATTTGAAGATTTTGAGGATTTGAATAATTGGTGATTTCAGAATTTTGAGGATTTCAAGATTACGGGATTTGAGGATTTGAGTATTTGGTGATTTCAGGAGTTTTGAGGATTTGAAAGTTTCAAGATTTCGTGATTTGAGGATTTGATTTGAAGATTTTGAGGATTTTAATGTCATGAAGAGGATTTGAGGATTTGGTGACATGGATTTTGGGGATTTGAGGATTTGGTGATTTGATAATTTTGATTGAGGATTTCAAAATATGATGATTTAGTGATTTGAAGATTTTGAGGATTTAGGATTTTGATAATTTGCTGATTTGATGATTTTGTGATTTGAAGATTTTGAGGACTTGGTGATTTGAGATTTCAAGATTTGGTGATTTGAGAATTTTGAGAATTTAAGGATTTTGTGATTCAAAAATTTCAGGGTTTGGTGATTTGAGGATTTTGAGGATTTGCTGATTTGATATTTCAGGATCTGGTGATTTTGGGGATTTGGGATTTTGGGGATTTGATGATTTTGTGATTTGAGGGTTTTGACGATTTGAGATTACAGGATTTGGTGATTTGATAATTTTGAGTATTTGGAGATTTGAGATTTCAGAACTTGGTGATTTGAAGATTTTGAGGATTTGATGAATTGGTGATTTCAGAATTTTGAGGATTTCAAGATTTCAAGATTTGATGATTTGAGGATTTTATGATTTGAGAATTTGCTGATTTGAGGATTTGCTGATTTGAGATTTCAGAATTTGGTGATTTGGTCATTTGAGGATTTAATGATTTAAGAATTCAGAATTTGAGGATTTTGAGGATTTGATGATTTGAGGATTTTGAAGATTTCAAGATTTTGAAGATTTGGTGTTTTGAAGATGTTGAGTATTTGAGGATTTTGAGGAATTGATGATTTTGTGATTTAAGGATTATGAAGATTTGGTGACTTGAGAATTTCAGAACTTGGTGATTTGAAGATTTTGGGGATTTAAGGATTTTGAAGATTTGGTGATTTGAGATTTCAGGATTTGATGACTTGGGGATTTGAGGCTTTTGGGCAATTGAGGATTTCAGGATTTGGTGATTTGAGGATTTGAAGTTTTGACAATTGAAGTTTTGAGTATTTGGTGATTTGAGGAATTTTGAGGATTTGAAGGTTTCAAGATTTCGTGATTTGAGGATTTGATTTGAAAATTTGGAAGATTTTAATGTCATGAAGAGGATTTGGTGACTTATGGATTTTGGTGATTTGATAATTTTGAGTATTTGGTGATTTGAGATTTCAGAACTTGGTGATCTGAGGATTTTAAGGATTTGATGAATTGGTGATTTCAGAATTTTGAGGATTTCAAGATTTGATGATTAGAGGATTTTGAGAATTTGCTGATTTGAGTTTTCAGGGTTTCGTGATTTGAGGATTTTGGCATTTGAGAATTTAGAGGATTTGATGATGAGAATTTGGTGATTTCAGATTTCAGGATTTGGTGATTTGAGAATTTTGAGGATTTGGTGATTTGAGATTTCAGGATTTGATTGATGATAATTTGAAGATTTTGAAGATTTGCTGATTTGGGAATTTTGAGGATTTCAAGATTTGATGATTTGGTGAGTTAAGGATTTTAAGATTTGATGATTTGAAGATTTTGGGAATTTGGTGATTTCAAAATTTCAGGATTTGGTGATTTGAGGATTTTAAGGATTTGAGGATTTGGTGATTTGAGAATTTTGAGGATTTGGTATTTTAAAGATTTCGAGGATTTGATGATTTGAAAATTCTGAAAATTTGGTGATTTGAGGATTTTTCGAAGATTTGAAGAATTGAGTTTATTTCCTGTTGCTCTTTTGGTGGCATTTTTGTGGCCTTGTTTTTTGTCATTTTTTTACTTCTATTTTTGTGTCTTTTTTCTTGCCTTTTAATTCGTTATGGCACCGTTTTTTGCAACAAAAAAGTGACATAAAACAGCAAAAAAGGACAAAAAGGGGCAGAAAAAATGAGTAAAAAACTACAAAAAAAAAAACACAAAGGTCACAAAAAGCGACTTTAGTGACGACAAGTAAAGCATCAGAAAGACGACAAAAGGAAACAAAAAGGAGGAGAACAAACAAAAAACGACAAAAAAAAGCGACAAAAGACCCGCCGAAAAAAGGAGAAAAATAAATTAACATAAGAAAACCCAACAAAAAAAAAGAGAAACAAAAATAACCAAAAATACCACAATAAAATACGGAATATTATCAAAAAAGCAACAAAAAAAGAAAAAATGAGCCACAAACAGTGCGACAAAGCAAAAAACATAAAAAAGACGACAAAAAAATGGAGTGGCCAGACTACCATGACAAAAAAGACAATAAAAAATCAATACAAATAACGATAACAAAAAAGGACATCAAAAATTATGCACAAAACAACGACAAAAAAGCGCAAAACACAATAAAAAAGAGAAACGCAAGAAAAAACATTCATTAATATTTAATGTATTTAAATAAAGAGCGCTTTAAATCGAATATTTCACACAACAATAATACGTAACAAATTACAACAACACAGTTCCTTTTGGACAAACTCTTACCTTATATCGGCGATAATCGTAATCATTTTGAGCCCCAGATCCACACAGGCGTCTGCGTGGTGAGGCGCAGGATCCGGGGGCAACCCTGCCACACAGTAATAACAATCCCCCAGAAATTTGATCCTCAAAACGTTCCCTTGCTGAAAAACACTGAAAGTATTAAAGTTTTCTTTGTTTCAGGTTAATCTCACCGCAGACGCGTCATCGAACCGACCAAACATCTCATTCAAAATATCCAGAAGATCTATAACATTGAGCTGAGTGGTCATCGCCGTATAATTAACAATATCAGCAAAGAGAATAGTGACATTTGGATGCTCCTCAACGTAGAGATCCCTGAAAACGAGACAATACAGAGAGGTGAATTTTTGTAGTGGAAACCTATACATACTCGAAGGGTTTTTCCTTAGGCATGGAGCTACCTTTCGAATAGTGCGAGATGTACTCCATCATAGTCTGGCGCACTTTCACTATGATGTGTTGTGGGATAATACTGGACATGAGATTATTCTACAAAAAAAAAATAAATAATCCCGATCTCAGACGAACACTTACCCAAAACCTACTTCTTGTTCTTCTTCAAATTTGAGCTGGTGCGTCGATTCCACGCACGATCTCCGATCAAGAAAACTCCTCCTAATCACGATTTCGTTCATATACCGAAAATACATCCCCAGACAATTAATAGCGAGCAGGAAAACCGCGTCGGAGCCAATCTTAAAGCACAAACGTCAAAAATGTATCAAAAAAAATACAGTCGGGCTTACTCTGGCATAAAGCGTGTCCACATTTTCGTACGTGACGAGTATCAACATCACCAAATGGAAAACAGAAATAAAAAGACCTACAACCAAAGCAACAATGTCGTTGTGGATGTTCAAAAAAATGTAGTTCGAAATGATCAAGTAAGGGGTGTAGGCTGGTCTTAAATTTTTCTGGTTTCTGTTATAAAAGGGGATGAAAGCGTTCATGAAAAAAGTGACCACGAAGGTGGTCCCTGCGAGTATTCTTAGGAGTTTGGGGTGAGCTTTGACGTAGATGTCGGTCACGATTAGGAGGAGGATTGAAAAGAGGATGATTATGCCGTAGAGGATGAGATCCGGCATAACGTGGATTTTGTCGTCCTACAATAATTAAAAAAAAAATTACAATTATTTTGTGTGTTAATTACAAGAACTTACGTCGTCTACAACGCCCAAAAGCACGATGAAATGACTCGTTACGAGTATGATTTGGAGAGACAAAAACTGGGAAAAATATCCATGGCTTATTCTCTGGATATATCTATTGAAAAGTTTGTGTAATTCTAGACTTTCGAATTGGTCCTGGAAAAAATGAATCGAGAGTGAATCAGAGGCTTAACTAATGACACTATAATGGGAGATAAATAAATAATTAAATTCCACTAGTTAATTATGAAAGTATTTTAAACGGCATTATTTCAAAATGTTTACAGGTGTGACAACATGATTCTTTATCACTCAAGATTAGTGATTTTACGTTTACGTCATTTCTGCTTGATAAGATCAATGACGCAATTGATAACACAATTGACGTGATGTCATTCAGAAACAGTCAAAGGAAAAATCCGTAACTGTGATTTGTGCTTCTGATTATTACAAAGCACATTTTTTCACTAATTTTCACTTAATTGGAACATGTAGTGTGAAGTGCTTTCAAGTAGTTTCTGGAATAAAATTGACTAAATTCTCCTACAAAATTTAATTCACGTGAAATTGAATCACATAAAAGACAGATTTGAATTTAGTTTTAACGTGCACAAGTTGCGTAAATTTATACTTTGTCCTTGCACTGTCGGTACGTTTTAATTGGACCTCTTAGTGATTATGTTGATAACGTGCATGCGTTTTGGATGCAGTTGTCATTGGCCACAATGTTCTGGAGCACGATAAAGTCTTAAATTAATTGCTAAGTGTGCTAGAAATTAAGCATCATTGAGATTAATCCAGATTATGGATTAATTTTACGACCGATAAGAAATTATAAATCTCCTATTGTGAAGTAAATATTCTAGGTATTAATAAACTTATTCTTGAATGGATACTTTCATGTTTCCTCAACGTTTCATGACAAAAAACGGGTCTCAAACAATATTTGTTGATCACACTGTATTTATTATCTATTCACAATCTTTTCGACGCAATTTTTTCTTGTACTAGGACAATTTTTTGCATTTTCTGTTGAAATTACTGAGTAACTATTAATGTTTGTGATTTTTTTTATCAGGTTGACAAGATATATTTAAAAATTTATGGTGGCATACTTCTGTGGTAGAGTATACAGTGATTAGCAAGTACTATTTCAGTTGGTATCAATGAATTTTGTTGAAATTGCTGGACCTTTCACTTCTTTGCTTCCTGTTGGTAGTACTTTTTAAATAAGAATGTGAATTTTTCTTGCGTTTATGTTGGCATAACGGAAGTAATTATGACAGATATGTCAACCGTGACATGCGATAAATTTAGGTTATCTGGTGGATACACTTTGCAAATTAAAAATGTCAGTAATCTATCAATCTTGGTTGCTGACAAGCGGAAATTATGAAAAAACATCGTGATACCAATTTTAACTAAAAATCCAGGATTGCCAACAGACTCAGTCATTTCTGATCATACTGTATCATTCATTCACCTTTTAGGTGCATGAAAATCTAGTGTAGTCGGTACAAAATAATCAAAATTCCCCAGTTTTTCTTGTTAGGTTATGTTAATCGAAAAATCGAAAATTGAAAAATTGAAATTAAAAGAATTGAAAATTGGACTATCGAAAAATTGCAATGACGAAAATTGAAAAATTGAGAAATGAAAAAGCGAAAAGTAAAAAGTTGAAAATGGTAAAACTGAAAATTCGAGAAGCGAAAAAGTAAAAAATTAAGTTTAAAAATTGAAGAAAGCAACAAGTGAAAAATCGAAAATTCCAAAAATAAAAAAAAACGAAATGTATAAAAATTGAAAATTCGAGCTTCGAAAATCGAAAAAATCGAGAAGTAAAAAAATTGAAAAATCGGAAAACTTAATGGAAAAATTAAAAGTCGAAAAGTGAAAAAATTAACAAATCTAAAAACTGAGAACGTAAAAATCGAAAACTCAAAAATTCCAAAATTCGAAAATTTGAATAATCGAGAAACCGAAAAGGAAACATTGAAAATTCGAAAATCTAAAAATCGAAAAATAAAATTCTGACAGAAAAAACGAAATTAAAAAAATTCGAGTATCGAAAAACCGAAAAATGGAACCAAGGAAATATTGATGTATTGAAACATAGAGAAACCGAAACATTAAAAGATCGACAAATCGAGAAGGCGAAATATCAAAAAATTGAAAAATACAGAAATGGAAAAATTTCCATATCTGAAGTATTGTAAAGTTGCGGAATCGAAAAACTTGAAAGACTGACAAAAAATCGAAAATCGAGGTTTCAAATGAATGAAAAAACCAAGAAAAATAGAATAACCGAAAATTTTAAAATCGAAAAGTCGAAAAACGGAACAATTGAAAAAATTGAAATAAAAAAAATCGAGAAAGCGAAAAATAAAAACTGAAGAATGCAAAAAGTGAAAAATCGAAAATTCGAAAAAATAAAGAAAAAACGAAAAGTATAAAAATTGAAAAATCGAAAAACTGAAGAATGGAAAAATTCAAAATCGAAAAGTGAACAAATTAATCGAAAACTCAATAAATCCAAAATCCGAAAATTTGAAAAATCGAGAAATCGAAAAGGAAACAAATTGAAAATTCGAATATCAAAAAATCGGAATTAGATAATTAAAACATGTAACGAAAAAACGAAAATTCGAGAAATCGGAAAACCGAAAACTCGAAAAATTAAAAGATCGAGAAATCGAGAAGGTGATATATCCACAAACTGAAAATTTTAAGAATAAAATATCGAAAAATTGAGAAATATAGAAATCGAAAAATTTCCACATAAAGTTGCGGAATCGAAAAACTTGAAAAACTGAAAAAAAAATCGAAAATCGAGATTTCACAAGAATGAAAAAACCAGTAAAAATAGAATAACCGAAAATTTTAAAATGGAAAAGTCGGAAGACGGAAAAACTGAGAAACTGAAATTAAAAAAATTGAAAATTACAATATCGAAAAATCGCAAAAACGAAAAAGTAAAAAATTGAAAATTCTAAAAAATCGAAAAATGTGAAAATTGAAAAATCGAGCTTCGAAAATCTGAAACTCGAGAAATCAAAAAAGTCGAGATGTAAAAAAATTGAAAAATCGAAAAACTGAAGAATGGAAAAATTCAAAATCGAAAAGTGAACAAATCAATCGAAAACTCAAAAAATCCAAAATCCGAAAATTTGAAAAAGCGAGAAACCGAAAAGGAAACATTGAAAATTCGAATATCAAAAATTCGGAAATTAGATAATTAAAATAGGTAACGAAAAAACGAAAATTCGAGAAATCGGAAAACCGGAAATTCGAAAATTTAAAAATCGGAAAGCTGAAAAATCAAAAATACGAAAATGGAGACTTCGAAAAATTGAACAATCCAAAAATCGAAATATAGAAAAAACGAAATATTGAAAGCCGAAAACAAAATTCTGACATCGAAAAATGAAATTAAAAGAACGAGAAATCCAGAAAGTGAAATGTCTACAAGCTGAAAATTTTAAGATCAAAATATCGAAAAATTGAAAAATACAGAAATGGAAAAATTTCCACATTTGAAGTGTTGTAAAGTTGCCGAATCGAAAAACTTGCAAGACTGAAAAAAATTCGAAAATCGAGATTTCAAAAGAATGAAAAAACCAGTAAAAATAGAAAAAACAAAAATTTTAAAACCGAAAAGTCGAAAAACGGAACAATTGAAAAAATTGAAATTAAAAAAATCGCAAAGACGAAAATTGAAAAATCGCGAAAGCGAAAAATCAAAAATTCTAAAAAATCCAAAAGAAAAACGAAAAATATAAAAATTGAAAAATCGAGCTCTGAAAATCGAAAACTCTAGAAATCAAAAAACTGAAGAATGGAAAAATTGAAAATCAAGAGTGAAAAAATTAAAAAGTCTAAATACTGGAGAATGGAAACACCTAAACCTCAAAAAATCCAAAATTCGAAAATTTGAAAAATCCGAAAGAAAATAAATTGAAAATTCGAACATCCAAAAATCGGAAAACCGAAAATTCGAAAATCTAAAAATCGGAAAACTGAAAAATCAACAACGAAAATCAAGACTTCGAAAAATTGAAAAATCCAAGAATCGAAAAATACAAAAAACGAAATATCGAAAGACGAAAAATAAAATTCTGATATCGAAAAATCGAAATTCAAAAAATTCAAGTATCGAAAAATCTAAAAATGGAAACATCGAATTATTGATAAATTGAAACATTGAAAAACCGAAACATCAAAAGATCGAGAAATCCAGAAATTAAAAATAGAGAAGGCGAAATGTCTACAAACTATAAATTCTAAAATTAAAATAGACAGAAATTGAAAAATACAGAAATGGAAAATTTTCCATATTTGGAGTGTTGTAAAGTATCGGAATCGAAAAACTTGAAAAATTGAAAAAAAAATCGAAATAGAGATTTCAAAAGAATAAAAAGAAAAATGGAATAATCGAAAATTTAAAAATCGAAAAGTCGAAAAACGGAAAAATTGAGAAATTGAAATTAAAAGAATTGAAAATTGGAATATCGAAAAATTCCAGTGACGAAGATTGAAAAATGAGAAAGCGAAAAGTAAAAAGTTGAAAATGGAAAAACTGAAAATTCGAGAATGTGAAAAATTAAAAAATCAAGTCTGGGTAAAAACTGAAAAAGGCAAAGAGTGAAAAAATGAAATGTATAAAAATTGAAAAACCGAGTCTCGAAAATCGAGAGCTCGAGAAATAAAAAAAATCGAGAAGTAGAAAAATTGAAAAATCGAAAAACTGAAGAATGGAAAAACTGAAACTCGAAAAGTGAAAAAATTAAAAACTCTAAATACTGAAGAATGTAAAAATCGAAAACTCAAAAAATCCATAATTCGAATATCGAAAAATCGAAAATTCTATCGTTCAAATAGGTATCGAAAACACGAAAATATCGAAAAGACAAATATCCAGAAATTGAAAAATACTCGATAATCGAGATTTCAAAAAAATAAAAAACCAAAAAAAAAATAGAATAACCGAAAATTTTAAAATCGAAAAGTCAAAAAACGGAAAAATTGAGAAACTGAAATTAAAAAAAATTTAAATTAGTGTATCGAAAAATTGGAAGTTCGAAAAATCGCAAAGAGGAAAATCGAAAAATCGAGGAAGCGAAAAATAAAAAAAATAAGTCTAAAATCTGAAAAATGCAAAAAATGAAAAATCGAAAATTCCTAAAATCAAAAAAACGAAATTTAAAAAAATTGAACAATCAAAAAACTGAAAATCGAAAAGTGAAAAAATTAAAAGGTGTAAATACTGAAGAATGTAAAATTGGAAAACTCAAAAAATCAAAAATTCGAAAAATCGAGAAATCGAAAAGGAAACAAATTGAAAATTTGAATATCAAAAAATCGGAAATTAGATAATTTTAAAATCGAAAAGTCGAAAAACTGAAAAATTGAGAAGCTGAAATTAAAAAAATCGCAAACACGAAAATTGAAACATTGAGAAAGTGAAAAATAAAAAAATTAAGTCTAAAAACTGAAGCATACAAAAAGTGAAAAATCGAAAATTCTAAGAAATCAAAAAAAGGAAAAGTATAAAAATTGAAAAATGGAGCTTCGAAAATCGAAATATCGAGAAATCAAAAAAATTTGATAAATCGAGAAATCGAAAATGAAACAAATTGACAATTTGAATATCGAAAAATCGTAAATTCGATTATTCAAATAGGTATCGAAAAAACGAAAATTCGAGAAGTCGGAAAACCGAAAATTCGAAAATCAAAAAATCATTTAAATGTTGTCAAGTTGCGGAATCGAAAACTTGAAAAATTGAAAAAAGAGAACCGAAAATCGAGATTTCAAAAGAGTAAAATAACCAAGAAAAATAGAATTACCGAAAATTTTAAAATCGAAAAGTCGAAAAACGGAAAAATTGAGAAACTGAAATTAAAAAAAATTAAAATTAGAGTATTGAAAAATTGCAAAGAGGAAAATTGAAAAATCGAGAAATCAAAAAGGAAACAAATTGACAATTTGAATATCGAAAAATCGTAAAACCGAAAATTCGAAAATGAAAAAATCATTTAAATGTTGTCAAGTTGCAGAATCGAAAAATTTGAAAAATTGAAAAAGTTGAAAGACTGAAAAAAAAATCGAAAATCGACATTTCAAAAGAGAAAAAAAAAAAACAAGAAAAATAGAATTACCGAAAATTTTAAAATCGAAAAGTCGAAAAACGGAAAAATTGAGCAACTGAAATTGAAAAAAAATTAAAATTAGAGTAGCAAAAAATTGGAAGTTCGAAAAATCGCAAAGAGGAAAATTGAAAAATCGAAGAAGCGAAAAATAAAAAAAATAAGTCTAAAAACTGAAGAATGAAGAAAATTCCTAAAATCAAAAAAACGAAAAGTATAAAAATTGAAAAAACGTGTTTCGAAAATCGAAAACTCGGGAAATCAAAAATATCGAGAAGTAAAAAATTGAAAAATTGAAAAACTGAAGAATGTAAAAATCGAAAACTCAAAAAATCCAAAATCCGAAAATTTGAAAAATCGAGAAATCAATGAGGAAATGAATTGAAAATGCGAATATCGAAAAATCGATCATTCGAAAATCTAGTAATCGGAAAACTGATAAATCAAAAATACGAAAATCAAGACTTCGAAAGATTGAAAAATCCAAAAATCGAAATATAGAAAAAAACGAAAAAATGTAAACATGGAAATATTGAAAAATTGAAACATGAGAAACCGAAACATCAAAAATCTACACACTGCAAATTCTAAAATTAATATATCGAAAAATTGAAAAATACAGAAATGGAAAAATTCTCACATTTCAAGCAATCTATTATCTACCGATGATCAAAGATCTACTCTGTTATCAACTCTGCAAGCGTTTCCATACGTTTGCAAAACATAGACAAGGTTTTTGGTGCAGCAAAAATAATCTGTTAATCAACAAATTTAAATGTTTTGTGAGGACACTTACAAAGAAGATAAAACCAATTAAGACGATTTGAACATCCCACTTAGAGCAAAATAATTCCATGTTCAACATTGTCCTGTAAATGTTTTTTTTGCCCGTTGGATCCAGAACGCCGCATCGAGAGTTTTCTAGGCCCGCCCGGTAAGCCGCGTCGACAGCACGATGACTCACCCATCAGTGCCGTGCGTACGTCTAGAAAACTCTCGACGACCATAGGCGTCGCACCGGGGCGGCGTAAGGGTGTATTTCGTAACATTTGTAATAATATAAGTAATACTAATATAGAGACTTAGCCAGTATACATAAGGGGACAATTTCGCAACATCGATACTTGGCGATATACAGCCCTCTTATCAAAATTGACATCTAACAAGAATTCAGGAATTCCCGGTATGCGTGGCAAAATTATTTTTTATTTTCCAAAAAAGAAAAAACAGAAAATACGTGAATTTTGTTATAAATTTACAAAAATCCACTTACCTTTAAATACGAAAGTCTCCACCTTCTTTCATTGTTAGATTCCTGATACAGAATTTCAGCAGCAGTGGACTTACGTTTCACCTCTGGAAATTCTTCGCTAATCGGACTATCCATATCCATATCCATATTTTACAACAAAATTCCAGAACTTACTTTCTATAACAACTAAAACCAATTCGGTCAGAATTTGCCTCACTGACTCATCTTTTATTATATTTTGCACTTATTCGCTCCAAATACAAATTTTACACCGCCAATAAATTTAGAGACTAGCGAATGTATTTATTATTGCAAATAATCTCGACTGGAAACAGATAAGATAATATGTTACCGTTTTAACTCGAAAACGCTTATTTTAAGACGTTCCGTTTTGCAATAGCGATACCCAGAATTGAGATTAAGGCAATAGTTTTTACGAAAAAATGCATCAAAGGTAAAAAAAAACCGCGGTTTTAGTTCGCGTTTGATAACTGGATAACAATAAACAAATTACGGCCGAATTTAAAAAGTGGGTTTTCGTGTTAATCCCTCGTGAGGCTATATAATAAATAATAACCCGACAACCGTTCTTTAATCCACTCACTTGTACTTCAAATTCTCCTCTATACACCAAAGTCTCGCGAAAACCGCAGCTATTCACCATTTTTTTTTACGTTGCCAACTAGATCACGTTCACCTCTAAATCCACCACTCAGAAAAGTACATTTTCGCATTCCGTATCAACGATTTTTCAACGATTATACAGAGATAAGTCCTAAGATAAATACTTGGAGTGAGACAACAAATAAAAGCAATACATTTTATTAAAAACAATAATTACAACTCTTATATGATGCTCGATACATAGGTACAATAAATAAATCAATGCTATAATATTATAACAAAACCATTTAACGCTTGTCCTAACTTCAACAACTCTCTGAGATACTTTTTTAATTAACATTTGACCAGTCTCTGAATCCTATTCGTTTAGGACAAGAGTTATCACTTTCGCTTTTACGAAGCGAACAAATTTTGTAAAGATTCAGTCACTTCTGGGCCCAGAGAAGACACCGCGTTGCCGAACTCCTCGCTGAAGTCCCTGTTTACGGTTTTGATGAACTCGACTAACAGGTTTTGGGTTTCTTGGCGAAAAAAAATTGTAAGTACATCGATTAAAAATTATTCAGTGATAAAGCGCATTAGAGATAAGATAGTCTGAGTCAATAATTTGTCTTACCGTCATTCGGAAACTGCTTCCTTTGATAGATCTGTACGACGATTTTAATAACGTCGGATAAATGGTCGCGTAAAACCGAATTTCCTTGCCGATAAAGTCCAAAGAAGCATTTGATGACGGCTTCGTTTTCTTGGAAGTCTTCTCTCAACGGCAGGCGTTGGATGAACACCGGGAACACCTAACGAAAAGGGGGTTACTAAGCACCGCAAAAGAAAAACATAAGCCCCGCCCACCCACCCTTTCTTAATTGTGACGATTTTTCTTTATTGTCGTGAGCCAAGAGGGAAGAGCTTAATTGCAAAAGCTTTATTTATTTACGAAAAACTACCAAGTGAAACAAAGAAAGCCAAAAGATAAGCCCCGCCCATTCGTCTTGATATCAATCATGATGTTTTTTTCATTCGTTGTCAGACCGAGGGGTGGAGCGTAATTGCAAGAAAAAAGGAAAAATATAATTTAAAAAGTATACATTTTTTTTTAATTTCGATCATATAATAATTTAAAAATAGAAGTTTAAAATTCCAACCATCTTGCATTTTTTCTACAATTTCATGAATTTTTAATTAATTTTTCAATTTTTATATATTTCAACTTTTCGGCTTCCAATTTTTCAGTTTTTTTGATTTTTAATTTTTCGTTTTTTCAATTTTGGATTTCATTGAAAAATTTTCACTTTTTCTATTATACAATTTTAGAAATTTTCCATTTTTCAATTGTGTTTAGAAATTTTTCATTTATTGGATTTTTCAATTTTTCGATTTTTAATTTTTCAATTTCTCCATATTTAATTTTTTAATTTTACCATCTTTCAATGTTACAGTTTTTCGACTTTTCAATTTTAACGTTTATATAATTTTTGGATCTGACAATTTTCGAGTTTTCTAATTTTTCTTCTTTCCAAATTTTCGTTTCTTCAGTTCTTCGAAATGAAGTTTTTCGAATTTCCATTTTTGCAATTTCTAGTTTTTTCACTTTTTCGATTTTTTCCGATTCTTTAGTTTTTCGAGTTCTTAACTTTTCGAATACAAAATATGGAAAAATTACAAAATTTTCGATTTTTCAGTTTTTCTTCAATTGTTTGATATTGAATAAATTTTTCAGTTTTTCGATTTTTGATGTTTCGATTTCCCGATTTTTCAATTTTTGGATATTTCAGTTTTGAGATTTTTCAATTTTCGATTTCTCGATCTCTTGACATTTCGATGTTTCGATTTCCCAACTTCTCGATTTTTCTATTTTTGACTTTCTCAATTCTTCAATTTTTCTTCGATTTTTTGATTTTCCGTTTTTACATCTTCGATTTTTCATTTTTTGATTTTTTAATGTTTCGATTTGTGGATTTTTTACTGTTTCGATTTTTTTATTTTTCCATTTTTAAATATGAGATTCTTCAATTTCCCAATTTTTCGATCTATTGAATTGTTTTTCAATTTTATGATTTTTAAAATTTCTCAATTTTTCAGTTTTTCGGTTTTTAAATTTTTCAATTTTTCAATTTTCCCCTTTCTCAATTTATCGAGATTTCGATTGTTCAATTTTTGGTTTTTCAATTTTTTTTAATTTCAATCTTAATTTAAAAAAAAAATATTTTTCGAGTTTAGGCTGTTTCAATTTCTGAATTCGATCTATCGAATTCTGTTTTTCAATTTTATGATTTTTAAAATTTCTCGATTTTTCAGTTTTTCGATTTTCAAATTTTTGGATTTTTCAATTTTCCCCTTTCTCGATTTATCGAGATTTCGATATTTCGATTGTTCAATTTTTTGGTTTTTCATTTTTTTTTAATTTCAAACCTTAATTTAAAAAAAAAAATTATTATCGAGTTTGGGCTGTTTCGATTTCTGAATTTTTCGGTTTTTCCACTTCTCGATTTTTCAATTTTTCAGTATCTCGATTAACCGATTTTTTGGTTTTTCGACTCTTCGATTTCTCAATTTTTCAGTTTTTCAATTCTTCAATTTTTGGATTTTTTCATGTTTTGATTTTTCAGGTTTTCGCATCTTGAAATTTTCGATTTCAAGATTTATTCATTTTTCGATTTCTCAATTTTCCGATGTTTCAGTTTTTCGATTTTTCAATTTTTGACGTTTGTAAATTTTCGATTTTTCAGTCCTTGATTTTTAAATTTTTCGATTTCTCGATTTTTAAAGTTTCCATTTCTTAATTTACGGATGTTTCTGTTTTACGATTTTTCAATTTTTTCTTTTCCTCAATTTTTCTTAGATTTTTCGACTTTTCGATATTTCAGTTTTGGGATTTTTCAATATTTCGATTTTTCAATTTTTCAACTTTTCGATTTCTCAATTTTTTACTGTTTCAATTTTTAAATAACGGATTTTTCAATTTTCCAATTTCTCAATGTTTCGATTTCTCGGTTTTTTAGTTTTTCGTTTCTTCAATTTTTCTTCGATTTTGCAATTTCTCGTTTTTTCACTTTTTCGATTTTTTCGGATTCTTTAGTTTTTCGAGTTTTTAATTTTTCGAATACAAAATATGGAAAAATTACAAAACTGTAACATTGAAAAATCAAAAATAAAAAACCAAAAAGTATAAAATGAAAACCTTGGAAAATCTAAAAATTGGAAATCAAAACTAGAAAAATTGAGTTAACGAAAATTTTAAAAGTCGAAAGATTGAAAAATGAAATATTGTAAAATCGAATTAATGAAAATTACGGAAACCGGAAAATCGTCTGCAATTTTTCAACTTTTCGATTTCTCAATTTTTTACTGTTTCAATTTGTAAATCACGGATTTTTCAATTTTCCAATTTCTCAATTTTTCTCGATTTTTTAGTTTTTCGTTTCTTCAATTTTTCTTCGATTTTTCAATTTTTCGGTATTTCAGTTTTGACATTTCTCGATTTCCCAACTTCTCGATTTTTCAATTTTTCACTTTCTCAATTCTTCAATTTTTCTTCGATTTTTTGATTTTCCATTTTTACATCTTCGATTTTTGATTTTTTTGATTTTTTAAAGTTTCGATCTGTGGATTTTTTACTGTTTTGATTTTTTTATTTTTCCATTTTTAAATATGAGATTCTTCAATTTCCCAATTTTTCGATCTATCGAATTCTGTTTTTCAGTTTTATGATTTTTAAAATTTCTCAATTTTTCAGTTTTTCGGTTTTTAACTTTTTGGATTTTTCAATTTTCCCCTTTCTCGATTTATCGAGATTTAGATATTTCGGTTGTCCAATTTTTTGGTTTTTCGATTTTTTTTTTAATTTCAAATCTTAATTTAAAAACAAAATATTTTTCGAGTTTGGGCTGTTTCGATTTCTGAATTTTTCGGTTTTTCCACTTCTCGACTTTTCAATTTTTCAGTTTTTCAATTCTTTAATTTTTGAATTTTTTAATTATTTCAAGATGTTTTCATTTTTCGATTTCTCAATTTTCCGATGTTTTAATTTTACGATTTTTCAATTTTTGACGTTTGTAAATTTTCGATTTTTTTGGGTTCGATTTTTTAGTCCTTGATTTTAAAATTCGATATTTCAGTTTTTGAATTTTTCAATATTTCGGTTCTTCAATTTTTCAACTTTTCGATTTCTTAATGTTTCGATTTCTCGTTTTTATATTTTCGATTTTTCATTTTTTCATTCTTTCGACGTATCTTTTCGATTTTTCAGTTTTTCTTCAATTTTTCGATATTGAATAAATTTTTCAGTTTTTCGATTTCTCGATCTCTTGACATTTCGATATTTCGATTTTTCAATTTTTCACTTTCTCAATTCTTCAATCTTTCTTCGATTTTTTGATTTTCCGTTTTTACATCTTCGATTTTTCATTTTTTGATTTTTTTATGTTTCGATTTGTGGATTTTTTACTGTTTTGATTTTTTTATTTTTCCCTTTTTAAATATGAGATTCTTCAATTTCCCAATTTTTCGATCTATCGAATTCTGTTTTTCAATTTTATAATTTTTAAAATTTCTCGATTTTTTAGTTTTTCGGTTTTTAAATTTTTGGATTTTTCAATTTTCCCCTTTCTCGATTTATCGAGATTTCGATATTTCGATTGTTCAATTTTTTGGTTTTTCGATTTTTTTTTTAATTTCAAATCTTGATTTAAAAAACATTTTTATTTTTCAAGTTTGGGATGTTTCGATTTCTGAATTTTTCGGTTTTTCCATTTCTCGACTTTTTAATTTTTCAGTTTTTCGCATCTTGAAATTTTCGATTTCAAGATTCTTTCATTTTTCGATTTCTCAATTTCCCGATTTTTCAGTTTTTCGATTTTTCAATTTTTGACGTTTGTAAATTTTCGATTTTTTGGGTTTTCGATTTTTCAGTCCTTGATTTTTCAATTTTTCGATTTCTCGATTTTTAAAGTTTCCATTTCTTAATTTACGGATGTTTCAGTTTTACGATTTTTCAACTTTTTCTTTTCCTCAATTTTTCTTAGATTTTTCAACTTTCCATATTTCAGTTTTGGAATTTTTCAATATTTTGATTCTTCAATTTTTCAACTTTTCGATTTCTCAATTTTTTACTGTTTCGATTTTTAAATAACAGATTTTTCAATTTTCCAATTTCTCAATGTTTCGATTTCTCGATTTTTAGTTTTTCGTTTCTTCAATTTTTGACGTTTGTAAATTTTCGATTTTTCAGTTTTTCGATTTTTTCCGATTCTTTAGTTTTTCGAGTTTTTAACTTTACGAATACAAAATATGGAAAAATGACAAAATTCTACCATTGAAAAATCAAAAAGTACAAAATGAAAACCTTGGAAAATCTAAAAATTGGAAATCAAGAACTAGAAAAATTGAGTTAACGAAAATTTTAAAAGTCGAAAGATTGAAAAATGAAATATTGTAAAATCGAATTAATGAAAATTAAGGAAACCGGAAAATCGAACTACTGAAAAATCAAAGAGTGACAGTTGAGGAACTGAACAAACGAAAAATTAGATAATCGATAGAAACATGGAAAAAATAAAGGAAATGAAAAAACGAAAAATTGGGATATAAAATACAGAAAATGAAACTTTAAAAAACGGGAAAATGAAAGGTTTTTCAATTTTTCGATTTGCAAATTTTCCGGCTTTCAGTTTTTCGATTTTTTTGACTTTTTCGTTTTGTCAAGTTTAGATTTTTCACTTTCTGCATTTTTCAATTTTTGATTTCATTAAAAAATGTTCACTTTTTCTGTTATACAATTTTAGAAATTTTCCATTTT